CATGAGCATTTAATTTGTCTCCATTGTGCTCCTTCCGCAGACAGGCCCTGCACCTCCACCCCACTCCTGCCACATACCCCAACAACCCTTCTCCCTGCCACCTTATTTAAATTGTAGCAAAAAACATAGGACAAAGATTTACCACCTTAATGTTTCTTAAATATACAATTACTGGTATTAAATGATCTAACCAAGCAGTCCAAAATTTCTGCCCTTACTCTTGCCTTTATGGTCCATTTTTTTTTTTTCTGAGTCTATAACCACAAATTCAGGTAACAAGCAGGGAACACTGAGAATGCACACAGATACAAAAACATTTAAAATCTGAACATAGAACATGGTTCTGCCCTGGCAGCTGCCTTGGGAATGGAGACAGGTTGAGGGAGGGAGAAGCAGCTGCTGTCTGCCAGAATCCCTGCTGCAGCCTGAGATCAGACTTGGGAGAGGATCCCAGGGTTCTGGTAACTAACCTGCTAGAGTCTTCGGAAGACACTGGTGCTGTATCTGAATCATCCTGAGACTAGGATCTTTTGCCTCTGCCGGGCTGCACAGTGCACAGTGCATGGGCGAGTGCTAGAAATACATCAATTTGTCATGTACGGGTAATGTCAGTAACTGAGGATGCCCGGGCCTTGTAGGGCTCAGGGGCAAAGGCCTGCCCAGCATGCAGGAAGCCATGGGTTCCTTCCCCAGCACCATAAAAACAGACTTCTCTTTGCTTCCCCTCTGTCCAGCATGATGGCCAGCCCTTCAGATGCAGAGGCAAGGAGCAGCAGAAGAGATGCAGACACCAGCCCGGGACATGTGGTGTGGCACCCAGCTCCTCCGCTTCTGGTCACAACCCCAGAAGAGTCACTGAACTCATAAAGCAAAGCTGTCATGGACACTAAAGGAGGCAGCATGTGACTCAAGACGCACACAAACCATGCAGGATGCTTTCTTCACCTTTCTCTTCACCTGGAGATGGCGTTTTAAGACACATCCGCCCACACTACAACAGGGACAGGGCAGTTGGGAGTCTGGGTAAGCGTGCCTCTGGGGAGAGCAGTAAGCATGACGGCAGCCTGCACTCAGTTCTATCTCAGAACAGGTAACTCCAACACCACCCAACTATGGACCAGGGACTACCTTATCACATCTCTGCCACAAGTTTGCTAGTTTTTTTTTTTTTTTTTTTTGCTTTTTAATTTTATTTTATTTATATTTTTTAATGGTACCAGGGATTGAATCCAGGAGCACTCAACCAGAAAGCTACATGCTGAGCCCTTTTTATTTTGAGACAGGGCCTCACTAAGTTGCTGAAGCTGGTCTTGAACTTGCAATACTTTGGCTTCAGCCTGCCAAGCCACTGGGATTACAGGTGTGCACCACTGTGCCTGGCTTGCTAGTCTTCAAATGAAGCTCTCCCATTTCCAAATCTTGGTGAATTTGGCCAAATTACTTAAATTTCCAAACCCTAATTACCTCAAAGTTTCCAAACCCTGTAGAATGGGGTTGGAGGGGTAATGTTAATTCTTTATAGGATTGATTTAAATATGCAGTTACCTAATCATGAAAGGGCCTGGCACATTGCTTCCTCATGTTATGCTATCCCTGGAGCTGCCAACATCAGCACCTATCATATAACTACAACCTTCAGTAGCAGCTGCAGATCTCCTCCTTGCCCTGCAAACCCTGGTTTTCTACACATTTTAAAAATCAATTTTATTGCTGGGCACAGAGGTGCACGCCTGTAATCCCAGCAGCTTTGGAGGCTGAGGCAGGAGAATCCAGAGTTCAAAGCCAGCCTCAGTAAAAGCTAGGTGTTAAGCAACTCAGTGAGACCCTGTCTCTTAATAAAATACAAAAAGGGCTGGAGGTATGGCTCGGTGGTCCAGTGCCCGGGAGTTCAATCTCTGGTACACCCCAAAAATCAATTTTATTGAGGTAAAACTTACATATAACAGACTGGACCCATTTAAAGGGTGTTGTTCCATGAGTTTGACAAATGAACAGTGGGAACCAACAGGGCCAAGAGAAGATGGCTCTAGCGATTCCCAGGTCAAGCTGACCAGTCCCTCCTCACCCAGCCAGACAACCCCTGACAGGTCTGGATCTGCTTTCTGAGACCCAGGTTCCATCTGTGGAACTTGACAATGCAGTCCCATGGTCTGTGCTGTTTCTCACTCCCTGTACTAGACTTACCCTCCTGCTGGCTGCATCCCCAGCCAGGTGTTATCAGAATTCCATTCTATTCAACACCATTTGCTCATTCACTCACACATCCTTATGTCTGTGTCTGTTCCTGTTTCAGCTACTGTGAACAGTGCTACACATTCATCTACATGTTCCTGAAGGGACATATTTTCAATTCCCTTGGGGAAATACAGTGGACTTGATGGTCATACAGTTAACTGTTTAATATTTCGAGAACCTGCCAAACTAGTTTCCAAGCAGATGAACCATTTTACAGCCCACCAGCAATGTCAGTTCTAACCCCCCCCACCCTCCACCCCCCACTTCGTCTGGTTCTCCTTGGCCATGACACTGGATGTGAAGTGCTAGCTCCTCCTGGTTTTGATTTTCATTTCCCTATGATGAGCATCTTGTCATGTGTCTACTGACCACTCATGTATTCATTTGTGAAGCATGTGAAAATATTCTGCAGTTTCTAATTGGATTGTTAAAACGTTATTCTCCTTTGGGTACAACAGAGAAACTCAAAGGAAAGAAGAAAACAATACAGGTAGCATATATTGGGAATAGCAGGTGAACACTCTGTACTCATCCTCATAACTGTCACAATCTCGACCCTTGGCCTCAGCTGCCCAAAGAGTTGGTGGGAAGGCCATATCAGAGAAGACATTACATATGCTAATAAAGAAATCTTACAGCCAAACAGGCTCCCCTTCCTCACCAAACTCAAATTCCTATGGAGGGAACAAATACTAAATCATATTTGAAAATCTGAGCAAACTGAGGTTAAATAGCTATTGAACTTAAGGAAGTGACTAAAAGACTCCTCTCTGGCCCAGTCTGGTGAAATGCTTCAGGCATAGGTAAAAATGAGAGCGACCAGGTATTCTGGGGGTGGGGGGTGCAGTGTTAAACAGGGTATATACAGAACCCAAGAACTAACAACCAGGTCCAGGAGAATCTGAGACCATAGGAGAAAGGGCCAGGCATTCAGCACTCATCAAGGCTCCTGGCCTGATGAGCCTGTGCAGAGCTGTGCTGCTGCTGTGGAAGGGCATACACCTCTGCTTCCCACCAAGTGGGCAGAAAGGACAGCCAGCTCAGGCCTCAGTCTCCGGCAGGAGGCCTCCTTTCCTGGCTGGCCCTCTCATCTCCTGCGTGTATATTCCTGCCAGCTTGGTTTCTGCTTTCTGGGAGAGCCAGCACACCTGCACCTGAGAGCTCACCAGTTGGCAGTTCTGGAGGCCTGGTACTCGGCTTTGGCTGCCATCTCTGAAGACCAACTGCAGTCACCCAAGTGGTTTCCAGCCTCAAGTCCTCTTGTTTGGGCATTATATCAACTCTGGCTCCTGTGACCACCTGCCACACTTCATCTTCCCCTATGGTCTCAGAATTCATTTTCCCAAATAATTTGTATATTGTTGGTAAAGAGAAATTAAAGTATAAACAGCCTTAGTATATTCAGTCATTGCTTCAATCAATGGATATGTGGTTTTAGAGAGAAAGGGGGAAGTGCTGTCACCAGAGACCCAGCCCTCATTAATGCTTCATTACTAGAGAATGAGGCTCCAATTTCTCATATTTAGGAACTGCACACAAGGTCACATCAAACACAGCCACCACCATTTTCTTTCACTTTTTTTTTTTTTGTCCATGGTCTTGTCATTTCTGAAAAAAAGCATTTCCTAGAATTAACTGCAATGGGAACATACCGTCTGTACCCAGAGGTCCTTCTCAACCCCACTCTGGACCCTCCAGTTGATGGAACATGGCTGTCAGGCAGAAAAACAGCCCAAGAGACGAGTCAATTGGGTTGTTTTCTTAAGTTATAGGGCTCTTTACATTTGGGATAGAAGTCTTTGTCAGATGTACGTATTGTGACATACTCCTGTGGCTCAGCTTTGTATATTATTTTTTATTCAGCATCCAATTACTTGCATTATGTTAGAAAAAAATCACTGTTAGATTTTTTTTTCTCACTCATTTAGCACTTACTAACTGTTCAGAGCAGTCATTTCCAAGTGGAGAGGTTCTCACTCCAGCTCTCCACTGACCTGTGGGCAGCACGACTTCCTGTTCCCAAGATCTCACAGCAGAACTTGCCTGCTGCCACCAACACCAGTGAGCTTGTAGACACCAGATATTGAGGATGAAGGTGGCCAGCAGGATGCCAAAAACGGCTCCCATCAATGGGCCTCTGCTCAGTCTCCACCTTCCCCTGCTTCCACAGGTTTTTGATGGTCTTGCAGTTCTGGGGATTAAACCCAGGGGTGCGTTACCATGGAGCTACACCCAGCCCTTTTAATTCTGAGACAAGGTCTAAGTTGTAAGGCTGGCCTCAAATGTTCAATCCTCCTGCCTCCAGAGTCTCTGGGATTACAGGCATGTGCCACAACACCCAGTGCATTTGTAATTTTTTTTGTACTAAGGATTGAACCCACGGGTACTTAACCACTGAACTACCTCCCCAACCCTTTTTTATATTTTTATTTAGAGACAGGGTCTCACTGAGTTGCTAAGCACCTTGCTAAGTTCCCAGTCCTTCTGCCTCAGCCTCCCCAGCAGCTAGGATTGGTGTGTGCCACCACACTCAGCCTAATCAGTACTTTTTAAAGAGCTAAAGTTATTTCCATTCTGGGGATGAAACCCAGGGCTTCATGCATGCTAAGAACTGAACCCAGCTCTACCTGAACTATATCCCCTGCCCTTTTAAATTTTTGAGAGAGGGCATTGCTAAGTTGCCCAGGCTGGCCTTGAACTTGTGATCCTCCTCCTCCAGTCTCATGAGTTGCTGGGATTACATGGTGTGCCACTGTGCCTGGCTGTTCTTTTTTTTTTTTTTTTTTAAGTTTTCTTCTATGTAAAATTTGTGCTTTTGGTGCTGAGAAATCTTCCCCTACACTATTATCATAAGTATTTTTCCTAGATACCTTCACTGTCAGCTTTAATATTCAGATCTGTGATGCATTCCAAGTTACTTCTATGTACCTTGAAGTAAGGGGAGTATTTCTCTGCCCCCACACAAATACCTAGTTATTTCAGCAGCATTCATTGAAAACTCTTTCCTACACCAAATTATTTGGACACTTTATTCAAAACTGGAGAATCTAGGTGTAGACTGGTTTCTAGACTTCGCGTCTTACTGACTTACTTACATACCCAGGCTGATGCCAATAATACACAGTACTACTAACATAGTTCTGTGGTAAAGCTGTGAAATCAGGTAGTGCAGCCCTCATACTTGGGGGTTTTGTTGTTGTTCACTCATTTTGGCAGAACTATCTTGAACCAGGTTTCTGCGAGTGCTAGGCAGCACTCCAGTCTACCTCTGCAGCCTCTTTTCATTTTCAAACAGGGTCTCCAAAGTTGCTCAAGCTGGTCTTGAATCAACCTTTTTCTTCTTCAGAAATTCTTTTGTTTTTCTAGGCCCTTCTCATTGCCATTTAAATTTTTGATTACTTTGTCAATTTCCATATGAATGCCTCTAAATCTAAAAAGACTTATCTGTGGAGCACCACCACACTAAGCTTCCCAACCTTGGCTATGGCAGGGACACTCTTCTTTTATGTAGTGCTGGGACTGAGCCCAGGCCCTGCACGGCTAGGCAGGTGCTTCATAGGAGGGCAGCTGGCTCGTGCCCCTGCACTTCCCATGCTCACTGCATGCCTCTGCTGTGGCACGCAGACTGAGAGCCGGCTTCCTTTCCTGTGGCCTTGCTCAAGTTCCTCATCAAGATTACTTGCAAACATGAGTTTCTGAAGAGGAAAAAAAAAATTATATCACTGAGGGGACTGTTTTCCTGATTCTAAAACTACCTTATGTTCCTCAAGGAGACTTTGTCAAGAATAGAAAAGTAAATTTAAAAGTAGAATGAAAGAAAGAAGAGCAAACTCCAGTTCTCCCAGCAGGAAGGTAAACTTTCCACACACTGGTCGGTCTGGGTGGCACCGTCTGCTGTCTAAGGAGGCGTTCACTTAAGCAGCTATGCTCACTCCATGCTGACCCTGCTCGAGCTTTCTTCACAGTGTGTGGCAGCACTGACACTTTCCGATGCTGTCAGACTTCTGGTACATGACGTGCCACACCATGGTTATGCCATGTACGACTGTTCTGCTATTGGGCACTTTTTATTATTTTGCAAATGATGCATTGTTGTAAGCAACACTCAGCTAGACACCTGTCAGGTGTTGTCAGCAGAACTACCCACAGCCCTCACAAATGCACCTACCAGGTGTGGCTTACATGTCATGTCAGTCCACACAACAGCCCTCTGAAGCAGGTATTAGTAGTATCCTCCTTGAAAGGTTGAGGAACACCAGCCACAGGTATCAGAAAACCCAAGGCCCACTTAAAGGGCTACTCTGACATTCCTGTGAAGAACTACAGCCGTAATGAAAACCGCGGACAGGAGTACACTGCGTGTGAACAGCATGGGGAAATGAGCAGCCCTGGATCTGACTGGCTCTGCCACCACGGATGTTCTCCCCACTTTATCACAAAGCACAAGTTATGAGGGGCTGTGCTCCTTTACAAGACTTTGATTCCAGCCACCATCCTAGTCTTCCCAGGAGAGACCACAACCTACTAGTCTCTGCAATGTTATCATTCAGCCATCTGAGCATTGCCTGTGCTATAAAATGGCAAACCATGGTCAGTCCCCACTGCTAACTGAGAAGCACACAGCAACACTGAAGCCAAGGCAACTGTTGCTTGGGAGCAGCACTGCAATAGGAAAATGTGTGTCACAGTAAACTGCAGATGTACTCACGGAGGTGGCAGCAAGGGGAGGTTTTTAAAGGCAAAAACAAGGACACCATGTACTTTGAAAGATGACTGGCCATAACCATGAACAGCAAGGTAACGTCACTCCAAGGCTGAACACAGCCTCTGGGCAGGCATCCCCATGAAGGGCCATCTGTGTGAAGCCTCGTGGCCTCTGAGTGCACGTGTGGCTCTCTGAGCATCTTATCAAAGTCACTACCAGGCAATCATGCGTGATAGCTCTTCCTTCACAACCTTGTGGCTTTATTTTTTTTATTAGGGTTGACGCAAGCTACTTCACTTTGATTTTGACACTTTTCACAACACACACACAAGATTCATTTATAGAATGAAACAGAAAATTAAAGCAGATCCTATTCCTGAATCTTTTTTGGGTAATGGACTTACCAGAGAATCTGAAGATTGGGGTCTTCCCCCTAGAAGACCTCTGTACCAACAAAACAATTTTGCATACAATATTAAAAGCTGTTACTGATCCTCAGGAATTAAATCATAATCCCAGTAATTGTCAGTAACTTTCACAGGTAAATTCTGACTTAGGTAAAAGGGAAAAGCATGTATGAGTGGAACTCTATGGCCCCAGAAAATTTAGAATCAATAGGAACCTTGGTCAGAAGATGGTTGTCAGGCACCTGAGAACCCAGGAAGCAACAAGCACATGTAAATTAGGTGACAAGTAACATTCAGTGGGGGAATATTTTAACAATCACGGTAATGGTGACAAAGAACTTGGCACACGTGAGGCCCTCTTCTAAGCTGTCACACTCACTCTCAAACACTCACCTCGATGATCCAAGGTACGTGCTCCACTCATCTCCAGCTTGCTGGGAGGCTGTCTGCACTTCAGGCAGAGAGAAGCCAAGCAGATGCCCACGAACACCAGCTAGTCAGGGAAAGAGGTGGGATTTCACCCTGGGCATTCCAGCTGGAGTACATGCCCTCAGGCAATAAGTCTCCTCTACAAAGGGAAAGGATTCAGCAGTGCTGGGTTGTCTGGTGCGCACATGTGTTCTGAATATTGCCCAGGTTCCTGCTCCTGATCCAATGGTGACCCTCCCTTGAGTATCCAAATGCCCAACGATCCTCTAAGTCTCCACATCCAGAGAACTGCTGCATTTTAAAATGCTTAGGAACATTCAGCACCTTTTTGCAAAGAGTGGAACTCTAAGGCCCCAGACAATTTAGAATCAATAGGAACCTTGGCCAGAGGTGGTCCTCAAGCTTCCTGGATACTGAAGAAACTAGATGTCCTTTCTGAGCACTTTAAGATGTCTTAACAATTATTTCAGCAACACTGAATAGACTATAAAGCTCAAATCCCATAACCTGTCAGTTTTTCCCATTTACCAAGACTTTCTCATCTTTCCACTGAATTCTTGCCCTCGTGGAACTGTATTTAAAAATGAGTTATCACCAGTAGTATAAATGTGTTCTTTACTGTTTGACATGAGAGGCATTTTCCTTGCTGCTAACCAAAGTGTGGCCTAGCCAAGATGTCAACCTCAGAAGTGCCACTGAGCAGCACCTGGCCAAGGGAGTGCGTCTTGCCAGCTTGATGCAGCAGCCCAGCTGTTCTCGTTCTTAGCAAGCCACTCCCCACACAGGCACCCTCGTCTCTTCTCCTTCTGAGGACACCAATGAGGCTGGATCATCCCCAACCACCACCCTCACAGCTCCTCCTCAGGCTAGCACTTTCAGTTGGTCAATAATGCTTCAGAAAACTGGACTTGTGTACTGAAACGAAATTAGTGGATTTTTCCTACTCCAGGACCTTTTTAGGGGGGTACTGGGTATGGAACCTAGGGATGCTCTGCTGCACCCCAACCTTTTTAAAGTTATTCTTTATTTTGAGACAGGGTTGCACTGTTGCTGAGCTTGGTCTTGAACTTGCGATTCTTATGCCTCAGCCTCCAGAGTAGCTGGGATCACAGGCCTGGCCACCATACCTGACTCCACATATGTCCATGTGCAGAGCTTCTCTCCAGGTGTTCTGCAAAGCTCTGGGTGAAGGATGCCCTACAGTGACCACACCAGCCCTTGCTTCCTAGTACGCCTTGTCTGGAATGCAGGTGAGGGCAGGGCTTCCTGCAAGCTCAGCCCCACACTGATGGCAGGTGAAGAACTGCTCCCCAGTATGCCCTACCTGATGGACAACACAGGGGGAGTCCTGGCTGAGACCGAGGCCACACCGCTGACACCTATAGGTCTCCTCTCCAGCGTGGGTCTTCTGGTGCTTCACAAGGTCATTCTTGCGGATGAAGGCCTTCCCACACTGGCAGCACTCGTAGGGCTTCTCCCCAGTGTGGATTCTCTGGTGCACGATGAGGGCAGAGCTCTGGCTGAAGGACTTTCCACAGTCGTGACACTCGTAAGGCTTCTCTCCAGTATGGGTCCTCTGATGTGAGAAGAGGTGCGAGCTTCGACCAAAGCACTTCCCACAGTCCTTACATTCGAAAGGCTTGAGGCCAGTGTGGATCCGGTGGTGCACCACCAAGTGGGACCTCTGGCTGTAGGACTTCCCACACTCACTGCACTCGTAGGGCCGCACTCGAACGTGAGTTCTCTGGTGCAGAATGAGGTGCGTGTTCTGTCGGAAGGCCTTCCCACATTCGGGGCATTCGTAGGGCTTCTCTCCTGTATGTGTCCTTTGGTGCCGAATGAGCCTGGAGCTGTGGACAAAGGATTTTCCACACTGACCGCATGTGTACAGTTTGTCCCCAGTGTGTGTCCTCTGGTGGGTGACCAGGTGGGAGAACCAGCTGAAGGACTTTCCACACTCTTTACACTCATAGGGCTCCTCGCCAGTGTGCGTCTTCTGATGCCCAACAAGGTGGGAACTCCGGCTGAAGGACTTTCCACACTCTTTACATTCAAAGGGCTTCTCTCCAGTGTGAATGAGCTGGTGCCTGGTAAGATTGGAGCGCCAGCTGAAGAACTTTCCACACTCCTTACACTCATAGGGCTTCTCCCTGTGTGTGCCTGGAGACACGTGGAGGGATGCTCTGGGATCAAGAGGGCTGCTGCCAGCAGGGCACTTGCAGTGTTGGCCTCCTGTGCGAGCTCTCGCACACTCAATCAGGTGGATGTTTTTGCAGAAGGCCTGGCCACACTCCCCACTGTCACCCAAGCAGTGCCCCTGATGCTCCCTAAATGCCAGGTCATGTTTCATGCTTCTCTCATCTGAGCCCCGTGTGTGGAAATACTCCCTCAGCACCAGCTGAGCAGGAAGGAGGCAGCTGCCCTCATACTTACCACTCTCACAGACCCTGCCTGGAGGAAAGACTTTCTTTGGGGTGAAGGCCACTTGCCTCAAATGTCTGTCTTGGTTCTCCTGATACTTGCCCAACGGGTCTTCACATTTCCACACATCTTCCAATGACAGATACCAGAGATCCTTCCTTGCCATTCCTTCTACTTTAATGCCACAGGGTTTTTTATCTTGAGAAATGTTCTTACTGGAAACAGGTGATTTCATTTCAACGTTAGTATCCAAATCTGAAAGAAATGAAAAGCTCTCTTCGATTAAAGTGCTGAGGTTAGGAATGGTGGGGAGTACATGGAGTCAGAAGACGTAGGAGTATAGAGCTGCCTTCAGGGTCGTGCTGAAAGGATAAAAGAAACTGAAGTTAAAGACCAGGCATTGTAAAGCTTCTAAGCTGCAAAGCCTGAGTTAAAATGTAAAAGACCAGGTATTGTTAAGTTCCTATGCTACACTCAAAATCTGAAATTCCTGTAGCTGTTAGGACAATTCACGGGACTGCCCAGTAGATATCCCCCCTGACCATTTAGTTGTTAAATAACCTGGGCCCTGTGCAGTTTGCCACGCAGGCATTCAGGGCCCAAACCAATCAGTTTGAATGTACCCCCCTTCTTAGGACTGACCTATCACCCCCGCCCGACCTGTTCCCGCCAATGAATGTACTAATCATGTTCAAGAGTTGTTGTTTGATTTTCCCGCGGTGTATGGTGATTTGTTGAAGGGGACTGTGATGTATGTAAAGTCCCTGCCCTCCCTAAAAAATGTATATAAACCCTGCTCAAGTTGTTCTCAGGGCTCTGGGCTGCTCTCCCTCCTTGAGTGAGCACAGCGCCCCAGCATGCTGGATCTGCAATAAACCCCCTTTTGCTGTTGCATGAGTCAGTCTCTTGGTGGTCTCTTCCTCCGTCGTTCGCCGGTCCCTTACAGTGCAGGAGAGAGGAGGTGGGTGAGCAGCCAAGCGCTACGCCAGGCACACAGAAGAAACACCACATGAAGGGGAGGTGCGGTTGGTGCACAACCACTGGGACCAAGATGCAGCAGTGGCAGGAAAAGGGAAATGCCAGACAGGGTGCCCACGCACTGCTAAGCTTCCCCTCCACAGGGCATGAATCCTGTGCAAGCACGGTCTCAGGGAAACAGCACTTGGAGGTGTCAAAGCCTTGGGAAGGCCTCATAGAAGGTCTTGAGGTCATGGTATGCCCTGGAGGGGACAGGGGGACTCAGGTCTCTTCCTGCTGAAGTGGGGCTCTGTTCACCGTTTGCTCCTGCCACAGAGTACCATTCCCCAGAGACAAGGCGTCACGGGCCTGCCTGGCTATAGATTGGAACCTTCACAACTGTAATTAACTATTCAAGTGGGTTTTTTTGGTTGGGGGACTGGGAATTGAACCCAGGAGCATTTTACCATGGAGCCACATCCCTAGCCACTTCCATTTTTTGAGACAGGGTCTCACTAAGTTGCTGAGGCTGACTTGAACTTGCAATTCTCCTGGCCTCAGACTCCCAAATCACTGGGATTACAGGCATGAGCCACTACACCCAACCTCAGGTACTCTTCTATAGTGACAGAAAAATAACACAGACATCAAGATTAACAATTTATATATGATAATCACTAAAGAAAACTAACTCAGAACCTCAAGTCTTTCCCATCATCTCCCTAGACTTTCTACCTACCTGCTGTCTATTGATATTAACACAAATTATTTCCCCTATTTAAGTGTGACATTTGTTTGTCAATACCTTTTAGGTAAAATGCTTGGTTCCAAATCTAAAAAACAAAACACACTACTTATACAATTCCACTTCTTACACAAATAAGGAGGAACTGTACCCCCTAAGGAGATATGGTTAAGTCCTAATGCCCAATAATTCATAATGTGGCCTTACGTGGAAATAGGACCACTGTAGATGGAAGTAGTTAAATGAGGCAGTACTGTAGTACATTGGCTCCTAATTCAATATGACTGGTGAGCTTATAAAAGAAAAGACCCAGAAACAGACGTGAGTGGCCACCACATGGAGTGGTTCACCACAAGCTCGGGAGCCCCTGGCTGTGAGGCGCTAGAAGAGGCAGGAAGAACCCTCTCCTAGAGGTCTGACATGCCCCTAGTGGCACCTTGATTTTGAACTTTTAAGCCTCCAGAACCATAAGCAGTAAAGTTCAATTTTAAATCACCTGGTTTCTGGTTCAATTTGAGCATCCCTTATCCAAAATCCTTAAGACTCAAAAGAATTTTGAATTTTGGATTTTTTTCATATGTTAGAATATAAACACGTACATAACAAAATATTTTGGGGATGGAACTATGCCTAAAAACAAAAGTCACTTATGTTTCATATATACCTTACACACACAGCCTGAAGACAATTTTGTACTATATATAAATACATACATAGGTACATAGATAGATCTATACATAGATCTATACATATATACATATTTTATATAAATCTATATATGTATACATATATGTGTATGTGAGTGTGTATGTATGTATGTGTGTATATGTGTGTGTATATGTGTATATGTGTGTGTGTGTGTGTATACACACACACACACCAGAGATTGAACCCAGGGGCACTTAACCACTAAGCCATATCCTCAACCTTTTTATTTTTTTACTATGAGACAGGGTCTCACTAAATTGCTTAGGGCTTTGCTAAGTTGCTGAAGATGGCTTTGAACTTGCAATCCTCCTGCCTCAGCCTTCTGAGCCAATAAATTACAGGTGTGTGCCACAGTGCCTAGCACACAATATTTTTAATAATGTTGTGCATGAAACAAAGTTTGGATACACTGAACCATCAGAAAACAAAGGTGTCCGGGAGGCCAAAGCAGGAGTATATCCAAGTTCAAGGTCAGCCTGGGAAACTTAGCAAGACCCTACCTTGAAATGAAACATAAAAGGGCTGGGGACATTGGGACTGAGGTTGTGGCTCATTGGTAGCATTCTTGCCTAGCATGCATGAGGCACTAGGTTCAATTCTCAGCACCACATACAAGTAAATAAAATAAAGGTCCATCAACAACTAAAAAAAAAATTTAAATAAAAGGGCTGGGGACATAGCTCTGTGGTGGAGAAGGGAAGGGAAGGAAGAGAGAAAGCAGGGAAGTAAGCACAGATGACTGTCTCCACACCCTGGGGACACCTATGGCTGCTTGGCACTACCACTGTCCTGACTGAATCTGTGCTACAGCAATCATTTTCTTACACTTACTCACACATAAGGACTTAAGAGTGAAAAATACAACATGTCAATAACACAGTAAAAAAAGAACAAAAACAAAAAGGTGCAGGCGCTGTGCACATGGCGACCGCCTACTAAACTCCCTGGAAAACATTCCACACCCATCTCTGTTCCCTACTACCAGCACTTGCTCTGCTCATTCTTCAGTGATCTACAGCACTAAGGACCCAAGGCGAGGCTGGAGTGATGCAGTCACATTTAGGGAAAGGACATAGCACAAACACTGTTTCTGAAGAGTCTCAGCAAGGCAAGCAGCTCGATTACCAAGGAAGAACTAAGGCTTGCAAGAAACCAGTGCAGCTTCCCCAAGGTGACTTGAGCCACTGGAGCAAAATCCTTATGAAATCAATCAGAAATACATTCCTGGCAATCCATGCCTTTTTATTGGCATAACAATGGCCTGGCAAGAAACCGGCTCCTTTAAAAAAGGGAGTACTAGAGCTTTCCTCACTTGCAGCAGGTCTGCAGAGCGCTGGGCAAGCTGCTCATCAACACATTCCAGCCTTGGTTCTGTTGGTTCCTGGGTCCTGCGGGGGCTTCTCATGGGGATAGTAGCATGACAGACTTGTTCTGGCATCAGGATAGTGACATCTTCCACCAGTGCCAACCTTGGCCAGCTCTTCTGTGAATGTCCCCCTGCTTGGGCATCAGTAGATGCTTTATCACTGCCAATCTTTAAAATATATAGCTGTCTTTTCTTAATTTCTGCAACCAACCATGAATATCCAGTTCCCCTGGATTTTCAGTTTACTGAGTTGAGCACACTGTCATGTGGCATATGCTCACTGATACTGATCATCTTTTGTATTCTTCTGATGTACTGCAGACAATTTAATTTTTAGTTCATTCCTTTTAAGTTTTCTTTCTATTTTTCAAGGTTTTTCCTTCTTTTCATCACTTCCAGCATGGCGTTCACCAGTCTATCCTTCTGTCCCTTCAGGTCATTCCAACAACGTATTTTTCTGTAATATGTTTCACATTTGAACTGCTGTTCAATTTCTCAGGCAGCACCTTTTGTGCTACAGAAAGACACAAATGCTTGGGGGGCTGGGGATACAGCTCAGTTGGTATAGAGCTTGACTTGCATGCAGTAGGCCCTGGGTTCAAAATGAAGAAGAAGAAGAAGAAAGAAGAAAGAAGAAAGAAGGAAGAAGAAGAAGAAGAAGAAGAAGAAGAAGAAGCAGGAAAAAGAAGCAGCAAGAAGAAAGGAGGAGGAGGAGGAGGAGGAGGAGGAGGAGGAGGAGGAATAAACAGTGGAAAGATACAAATGCTTACACTTTTTCTTATCACCATTATCAACAGGGGCATCTGCAGGCCTTTTTGACATCTGAAGTCCTTTACACCACAGTCCAGAGAGTAAAGAAGACATAGAGTATACAATGGGCACATATCTTGGCCTCATGTGGGGAACTGGAAACCTGCCATTCATTATCCATATAACACACATCTTATTGCACTCTTTGAGCACGCTTGTGTAAGGAACACAGGCACACCTAGAAAAGGTACACCACAGCTGAGTGGGCTAGGAGTCTTTGCTTCCCTTGGGGACTGAATAAATTGTATCACATTCCTTCATACTGACAACAACACGCAGTACACCAAGTAACTCTACACTTTTGACATCATGTCAGTGCTCAGAAAGTCTGGGTTTTATCAGGTGGGTGCAATGTGCACACCTGTAATCCTACCTACTTGGGAGGCTGAGGCAGGACGAATACAAGTTCGAGGTCTGTTGAGAGCCACGGCCCAGTCAGAATGACGCCTGGCATTTGCCAGAGGGAATGTTTGAAAGGTGACCAGCAAACCATTGAGATGATGATTTGAGTTAAGCTATATATAACTGCTGTGATGCTGGATTGATTGTATTGTATATTTGACCTTTACTGTGGGGCAATAGGGCGGCTCTTGCTGCCTTGGGCGCCTGCTACTTTGGAGTTCTCCAGGGGATTCCTGGAGAGTTCGTATTGGTTGGGGAAGTGTCGGAGGAGGGATTTCCGGTGGGTGGGTGGGTGAGTGGCATTTGGAGGGTTCGGGCAATAAAGGAGTTCCTGTTTTGAACCTACAAGTGCCTCGTGGTGGCTTAGTTATTTTGTGCCCAGCCAGACTGCAGCAGAGGTCAGCCTGGACAACTAATTGAGACCCTGTCTCAAAATTTAAAAAGGGCCAGGGATGTAGCTAGGTGGTAGAGCACCCCTAGGTTTAATCCCCAGGACTGGGGGTGTTGGGAAAACATATAACGGCAGCAGCACCCCAGAGAAAAACCCCAGCATGGCGTCTAACGACCCTCTTTCTCCTCTTTGTTTATTTCACTGGCGCGAAACTTCTCCTCTTTGTTTCTTTCACTGGCACGAAATGTTCCAATGTTCAAACCCTGCTGGTGGGAAGCCTTAGCCCCAATTAGAATTAACTTCTTGGGCTCCGGAACTGACATATGGAAGAGCTTGCCAATAAACGGGCGACCTGTTATCTACCTCAGCCCTGCGACCTCTCCTTAGACCTATATAAACACACAGCCTTTTGTAATAAAGTGGAAACCTCTTTGGTGATCTGTGTCGTGTGGTGCGGCGTCTTCCAGTCTTACAGGGGGGAGAAAAAGAGTTTCAGGTTTTAGAGTAGTTTGGATCTCAACTTTCCAGATTAGATGTTAGATGCTCAACTTGTACTTTTTCATGGCAGCTTTAGGAAACAAACACAAGCAACATGATCTCTGTGCCCAGCCAGTTCCCTGGGTGACTTCTTTTTAAACGCCCACTCCAATATCCTCATTTTCATGACCATTAGAGTTCCTAGTTTCTATTCTGCCCTGATGATTCTTGGTCCCCTTTCCATTACCCAAGGCATCAGAGAATCTCAGAGTGGCTTTTCAAACTACAAATGGCAACTGCAAGACTCTAAAATGGACATTGATGTGAAGGGGCTGCACACTGGTAAAGAAGAGTCTGAGTGTGGTGTCTGAGCACAAGTGTGGTGCTCTCCATCACCAGTGTCCTAGAAACCCTGATTTATCAGGAAACACTGTTACGCAAATACATCACCATCAAACTGCAGCACCTGTCAGTCAACATTTCTAAAGCATCGTTCATTACACTGATGGTTTTGATGATGAAGTTCATTGAGTCTTGTAGATTTATTTAAATTCCATGTGTTTGATAACATGGAGTTTCAATATTTCATTTGACAACATTATCAATAGACATATAAATTATTTTATCAACAAATATCTAAACTGCTCAGTCTAGTTAATGACTGATATTTTTGGAAACTTGTCAGTTAACATCTAGGAAAACTTGCTGAATGAATGAACACAAAATAAAAGAAATAAGAAAAGGAAGGAAGAAAATAGAAAAAAGCTTTCCTCCCAGGCCCAAAGCAGTTGACTGATCAAGTTCTTACAAGTGAGCCAAAGCAATCCTCAGTGAGAAAAGTGAAGCCGGAGGCATCATAATACCAGACCTTAAATTATACTACAGAAACAAAAACCAGCATGGTATTGGCACCAAAACAAACATGAAGACCAATGGAACAGAATAGAAGACATAAGAGACAAACCCACATAAATATAGTCATTTCTCATACTAGACAAGGTCCCATAAACACACATTGGAGAAAAGATAGCCTCTTCAACAAATAGTGCTGGGGAAATGGGAAATCCACATGAAACAGAATGAAATTGAATCTTTATATCTCACCCTGCACAAAACTCAACTCTGCATGAATCAAGGACCTAGGCATTAGACCAGAGATCCCCATTCCTACTATAAGAAAAAGCAGGCCCAAATTTCCATTATGTTGACTTAGGAACTGAATTCCTCAATGAGACTCCCAAAGCACAAGAAGTAAAATCAGGAATCAATAAATGGGATGGTATCAAACTTAAAAGCTTCTTCACAGCAAAGGAAACAAACTAGAACATGAAGAGAGAGCCAACAGAATAGGAGAAAATCTTTGCCACCTGCACATCAGAGCATTAATCTCCATGATATATAAAGAACTCAAAAAACTTAACACCAAAAACACACATAACTCAATCAATGAATTCATAGGACTCGTAAGACTCAAATACTGAGGCACCGGAAATGCCTTCCAGGTGTGCACATCAGGTACTGGTGAAGAGGTGGAGAAACAGTTCTTTCCAATGTGACAGGAATCTAATGGGACTGGGAAATTAATGTCCCCTGAGAGCCCACGTAGAGCCCCTTGCATGTGCACTGGCCCTCTGTGTGGCGAGAAGCACTGTACCTGCAGCATGACTCTGACAGCAACACATGAGATGCACTGAGCTCAGAGCACAGAAAAAAGACCACTGACTGAGAACACAGGGGTGGGGAGCTGGGAGACAACTTCCTATTTTTTTAACTCAGAAGGCCAATTTCCCAGAAATACACAGGGAATCAGGAAAATAAATTACCTTTGGAAGCTACACAACAATTTTCATTTTAGGGACACGAACATTAAAATGAAATATGAGTAAGTTGAAAAACATTAAATACAGATCTATAGTGGGAAAAGTGGTTCAAGAACAACACTTCTGGAATGGAGGGAGCCAAGCCAGCAGGAGCCTGCGAGCCTCCGGAGCAGCTTACAAATGGCTGGAAACAAATGCTCAGAACACTAGCAGGGGACAGTTCCACTGGCCAGCTCACAGAGAAGAGCTGAGCTCTGTGGAGGGGCCACAGGAGAAAGAGTCAGGGAGATGAAAAAATTACCCCATGGTAAGTGGAGCTCATGGTAATAATCCCCAAACAGGAGCAGGGCTGAGCAAGGTGTGCCACAGGAAGACAGTTTTAGTGAAGCAGTCAGAAACCTTGGTCTCTGCAAGCCAACGCAAGCAAGCCTGCCAGGAATGCAGAACAACTGGAGGCAGGAGACTTTAGCACTCTCTCAGAAAGGAGGACCTATGAGGAGAGCCTGAGCCTATCTCGAGGCTGTGCCCCCTCAGGCCATGTGGACATCACTGTGGCAGCTCCTGCCTGGTGCTCACCTGGACACAACTCTTGAACTGCCCTCTCCACCAGCCAGGGCTCTTCCCCTTTCTCCAACTGCAGGATCACCTCTGGTTTAGGAAGCTGGTGCCCTGTTCAGGGAAAGAACAAGGCCCAGGTAAGCACAGGAGAGCTCTAAAGTAGACAGAGAAGAACCCTAGTTAAACCCACCCCAACCCTTCCACAGCACTGGGGCTACAAGGAGTTAGCAAAAGAAATATGCATTTTTTTAAATTTAGCAATTTTTCCCCACAAAAGTGGGATACAAAGACCCTACTCTATGCCCCAAAGGAAGCAGGTAACTGAACCCAAGCCCACAGGGTCTGTAGCCACTAAGCAATGAAAAGCCAAAATCACCACAGTGAGTAGTTTTCAAGCACAGGTTAGTCTTACCCAACGACACCAGGTTCTCATAGTTCTCCAACATCACATCTTTGTACATGACCTGCTGAGCTGGGTCTAGCAGCTGCCACTCCTCTCTAGTGAAGTCCACAAGCACATCCTTGAAGGTCACCAGTGTCTACAAAATCAAACAAATCTTCACTGAGCCGGATTAATATATTTGCCCTCCCTTTGGATCCTGGCAAAGGGAGGCTGCCTGCACTGAGTGGGGAGAGGATGGACCAACTCGCTCTAGGAACTAGCAGTATTTATTTTGAGGTATCTGGGTCAAGTCTCCCAAGGAATGGATCTTAGGTAGTCACTATCCAAAAGCAAAGTCTATGTCATGCTTTAGATTAGAAACAAACATCTTTATTTAAACCAAGTTTATTTAAAACAACTATGGAAGGGAAAATCAGACACCAGAAGTTAACCCGTTTATACCTAAATTCAAGGCAAGAAAATAGGGAGGAAAGTAGAGATCGAGCACACTGCATGGCTCAAGAGGCGCATCACTCAAGCCATGTCTCATGACCCCAAATAATCACCCAGAACATTTTCCCTCAACACTGATAGGCATAAAAAAGGAGAAGAAAGTTATCCTTTAGTAGTAGCAAAACAATTTAATGAAGGAAACAAGATATACAAACGTAAAGACTGTACTAGCTTCATCAAAAAGAAGTGTTGATTATATGTAGAAAAACTATCTATTTGGAGCTTGGCACAGCAGCACACACCTGCAATTCCAGCAGCTCGAGAAGCTGAGGCAGGAGGATCTCAAGTTCAAAGTCAGCCTCAGTCATTTAGTGAGGCTCTAAGCAACTTAGTGAGACCCTGACTCAAAATAAAAATAAAAAGGGCTGAGGATGGGCTTAGTGGTTAAGCTCCTCTGGGTTCAATCCCTGTTACCAAAGGGGACAAAAAAATCTACTTGAATGAAGAATATATGCCTGTTTTTAAATGCTGAAAGAAATGTCAAAACAAGATTTCTTTTTTTTTTTTTTTTTGGTATTACTGGGGATAGAATCCAGGGTTTCACACATGCTAGGCAAGTGCTCTGCCACTGAGCTACACTCCCAGTTCTTTTTGTAAATTTTTCTCTTGATATAAGGTCTTGCTAAGTTGCACAGACTGGCGCTGATCCTCCAGCCTCAGCCTTCTGAGTACCTGGAATCACAGGAATGTGCCACTGTGCCTGGCTAAGCCAGAATTTTTTCATCTAATGGAAATATCTTTCAGAAATGCCAAGAAATATACATTTTGAAATGAAGTAAAACCAACAAAGTTTGTTGTCAGAAGATCTGCCCTAAAAGATGTGCTACAAGATATTCTTCAGGCAAAAAGTGAATAACGCTGAAGAGAAAACTGAAATCTTAGAAATGAAGGATGAACCACAAAAACAGTATAATGGGTTTCTTTCTTTTTTTAATATTTTTTTTAGTTGTAGTTGAACACAATACCTTTATTTTATTTTATTTATTTATTTTTTCATATGGTGCTGAGGATCAAACCCAGCAACTCCCATGTGCTAGGCAAGCTCTATACCTCTGAGCCACAACCCCAGCCCAGTGTCATGGGTTTCTTCCCTTAAACTCAAAAATATATGGGATATAGAGGAAGGAGCACATATAACAATAATGCACATTTCCAAAAGCTAGAAGAAAGGATTTTCAAAGTTTTCACTATAAAGAAATTATAAGTGTTTCAGAAGATAAATATGTTTAAGATCACTTAAACATTACACAATATATATGTGAATTGAATATTATATGATACCAATTAACATGTAAAAGTTTTATGTACTGGTTTAAAAACTATTTTAAAAACATTAAACTTATAATTATAAAAAAGTATATATATGGTAGTTGAAAGCAAAGCTGCAACATTTTCCGGTGGGGTTTTTCAACATAAGTAAGGACACAAACACACATGCACACACACGCAATATGAACTCAAAGGGAGGAAAATCAAGGGATGCATGTGTTTAAAAGGCTTCCAGATTTTAGTTGAAGCGGTAAAAAAATTAAGTCTAGATTATAAAAGATTAGGTATGTACATTCTATTCTCTACAACAACCCTTTAAAAACACAAAAATGCAATGTTAAAGAGTCAAAATATAAATTAAAATGAAATACTAAAAAACACCCATGTAAAGGCAGCATGGGGGTGGGATGGGGAATATGCAGAAAACACAACGACACATTTAAATTCAAGCACATTAATATCAACAGTCAGGGGCTGGGGCTGGGGCTCAGTGGTAGAGCGCTCACCTAGCACATATGAGGCACTGGGCTCGATCCTTAGCACCACATAAAAATAAATAAATAAAATAAATGTGTTGTGTCCATCTACAAGTAAAAAAAAAAGAAAATTTCTTTTTAAACTCAACAGTAGGGGCTGGGGATGTAGCTCAGTGGTAGAGCACTTGCCTCACATGCATGAGGCCCTGGGTTCAATCAACACCATGTAAAAGTAAATAAATAAAAATAAAGATATTGTGTCCATCTGTAACTAAAAATATATATATATTTTGTAAAAACTCAACAGTAAGTAAACAGACTAGTTAAAAACTGAGCAGAAAAAACTAAAACTTTTCACCAAAAATGGTAAATACTCATATGAAAAGATGACCAAGGGTTGTGGCTCAGTGGCAGACCACTTGCCTAGCATGTGTGAGGCACTGAGTTCGATTCTCAGCACCACGTATCAATAAATAAAATAAAGGTCCATTGACAACTAAAAAAATTTTTTTTTAAATGCCCAAGGTCTTAATTCATTAGGGAAATGGAAACTAAAACCATAGCAAGACAGCAGACACCTATTAGGAAGGGTAAAGTTTCAAACCAAACACCGGTGAGGATGTAGAGTGACTGCTGCTCTCCACTGTGGAATGGAAAATGCCTCACTTTGGGAAAATGCTGCTCACATTTCCTCAAGTTAAAGTTACTTGCACCACATAGCCGATGTCATCTGGCTGTCACTCTAACAGAATACATGGGTAATCAACAACAAAAAGGTTTGTTTGGGCTCCCACTTCTGGAGGTCTTAGGCCATGCCAGTTGGCCCTGGGGCAGCACCATGCATTGTAGCAGGAGTCTGTGGCAGTAGGGACCTATTCACATTATGGCCAGGTAAGTGCAAGGAAGAGAGGGCCAGAGACAGAGGCCCACAATTCCCTGAGAGGGGCTACCCCAATGCCTAGGGACCTACAGGCCTACAGGCTCCTCCTCTTAAAAGTGCAACTGCCCCCAACACACCAAGCCAGAGAACAAGTCAACACAGGGCCTCTGGGAATACCTAACCTGCCATTCTCTTGGCTAAATACTAGGAGAATGAAAACAGGCTTACACCAAAACCTACATGCGAATGTATAAAAACCGGTAAAGGGCTTTATTGAAAGCTGCTCCAAACTGGAATTAACCTAAATGTCCTTCAATAGAGAATATAAAAACAATGTTTATGCCCTTCTTCTCTGATGTATCAAACTACTTTTTCTACTATTGTATATCTGTGGAAATTTCCATAATAAGCGAGGGAAAGCCAGGCACGGTGGCACACACCTGTAATCCCAGTGGCTTGGGGGCTCTAAAGCAGGAGGATCATGAGTTCAAAGCCAGCCTCAGCAAAAGCAAGGTGTTAAGCAACTTAGTGAGACCCCGCCTCTAAATAAAATTCAAAACAGGGCTGGGAATGTGGTTCAGTAGTCTAGTACCCCTGAGTTCAATCCCCAGTACCAAAAGAGAGAGAGTGAGAGAGGGAGGGAGGGAGGGAGGGAGGGAGGGAGGGAGGGGGAGGGGAAAAGATAAAGCCATAGTGATTTCTTATTAACTCACTTTTCAGCAACACAGCCTAGCTTCTCATTCTCAGTAGCACAATTGACATGCAAGCCCCTCAGCTCAATCAGCTTGCCAGTTACTGACCTGTGTCTGTTCTGCCAGGCCTTTCCTGAGGGCCTGCAGCGACAGGCACAAGGTCCACACTGCCCACTCTCCCCTCAGAGTTCTTCAAACAGGCCATGCTTTCTCAAAACTCTCGGTACTCACAAATCCACTTCCTTCACTTCCTTCACGCTTAGGCGGATAATCATAAATGACTTTTTTTTTGTAGTTGTAAATGGACAGAATGCCTTTATTTTGTTTATTTTTATGTGGTGCTGAGGATCAAACCCAGTGCCTCACACATGCTAGGTAAGTGCTCTGCCACTGAGCCACAGATCCAGCCCCATAAATCATTCTTAATGTCTTGGTGTGAATGTCATTTCAGCAAGTTTTCTCCTGAACCTTAAAATTATTTAAATCTCCTTGTGTTCTATGCATACACCAAACTCCTGCCCAGAGCATTTACTGGGCAAGGAACATCTGTTCTGCTCCTGACTGCTCCCCAGATCACCTGTCTACGCCCACATAAAGGATGCAACCAGGCTGCTCTGCTCCTAGATGGTGCATCCCCCTGAGCACTCTGTGCTGTGCCTTGGTGGAGTTTTCTCTCTTTGATAATTACCTGTGCTGCCCTGAGATCCTTCAAACAGGAGATCCCCACGGATGAATTCACACAACCAGCATCACACCAGAACAGCCAGGACCAAGGAAGCCTGTGTAAGGCACCAACACTCTACTTCTTCTGTGGGTTTAATGACTGGTGTGGATGAAAGAGCATTCCACCAACTGGGTCCAGCTCCAGCCCAGCTGTTCCACTTGTGTTTGTTTTGTATTAAAGGAAACAAACCTACATCTACAAAGGAGACAAAACACTCCTGGTCTCCTGGATGCAAACTCCTACGCCCCTGGGCACAGGGCATCAGAACCTTGGTATAGAGGGGTTCCCAACTGGGCAACAAGGAAAGCAGCCCAACATACCTGGGACCAGGCAGGCAGTAATGCAGCCTCCATGCCCTCCTTGTTCTTGGCAACACTTTCCTGAGCAACAGGAGAGTCCTGAAAACCCAAGTTGGGGAAAAGAGAAACATGAGACAAGGTTGCTGACTCTTTAACTGTGCAAAGGTGTCAAAGACCCACCACACAGAAAAATAACACACAATGCCTGAAACTTCACAAGATTACAGACGGGGTTACATAAAAGGGACCCCTTAACCTCTGGAGTACCATGCTAAGACTAATTCGGGACTGGATGGTTCTACCTACCACTACAGATCCTCTTTTGAGGTAAAAAAGCAATAAATAAACTGACCTAACATTCGCACTTTAGAAATAAGAAACAAGTTCCCTCCTGCTGGTCACAGAAGGAAGCAGAGGCCTGAAGCACCTGGAGGGAAGTGCAGCATGGCCAGGAGTGCAGGCTCCAGGGAGCCAAGGGCAGCATCCGGCCCACAGCCTTCATGGAGGAGGGACAAGAAAATGAACCCTGCCACAGCCTCCAGAGGAGTACTTGGTCCTGTAGACCCCTGAACTAGGCCTCTGGCAACCTTGCCACAGCCTCCAGAGGAGCACTTGGCCCTGCAGGCCCCTGAGCTAGGCCTCTGGCAACCCTGAGTAGAGGACACTGCCACGTTGAGCTGCTGGCCTGCAGAACTGTGAGCAGAGTGCTGTGTGAAGGTGCCAGGCACCTGGTACTTGTTACACAGTAACAAGAAACCCACATGGTCAACTTCTTCCTCGAGGGACTTAAACATTAAGGAGAACATCACACACATACCTATTTACCATCACCAGGCTGTTCACTCCTCCGCACAGAGCCAGCTCCCCATCTGCTCTAACGTCCTTCTCCCTGAAGATGCTCTTCAACATTCGTGGTAAGGGATCTTGTGGTTGTAAATTCTCGCAGCAATTGCTGTGACGTCTTTACTGTACCTTTGGTTTTTTTAAATAGCTTTATTGAGATGCAACTCCTATACAATATAATTCACTCATTTAAAGTTTTCAATTCAATGACTTTTGGTATATTACATAATTTTAAAAATCGCGGTAAAATACAGATGACAATTTGCCACTGTAGCTGTGTTCCAGCACACAATTCAGTGGCGTTACACCCACGATGTTGTACAGCCATCACCACTAACTCCACAGCTTTTCATCACTCAAAACAGAAACTCCAATCTGTCGGGCAGTAGCTCCCCATCCTCCCTCTTCATGGCCCCTTACAACCTTTATCTACAAATTTGCCATTCTAGATAGTTCATGAAAGTGGAATCCAACAATGTTTGCCATTTTGTCCAATTTATTTCATTTAGCATGAAGTTTTCAAAGCTCGCCATATTGCAGCATGTATCAGAACTCCATTTCTGCCAGGCACAGGAGCCACACCCGTTATCCCAACAACTCAGGAGGCTGAGGCTAGAGGATCACAAGTTCAGGACCAGCGTGGGCATCTTAGTGACATCTGTCTCAAAAAGTAAAAAGGGCTGGCATGTAGCTCAGTGGTACAGCACTCCTGGGTCAATCCCCAATACTATTTATAAAAAAGAACCTCATTCCTTTTTATTGACCGAATACTACTCTGTTACACATTCCACATTAACCCATTCATTTGCTGATGGACGCTGGGCTGTTTACAACTTTCAGTTATTGTGAATAATGCTTCAATGGACACTGGCAGACAAGTATCAATCCAAGTTCCCCTTTTCAATTTCTTTGAGAGTATACTCAGGGTCTTCTAGTGTTGTTTAGATTTTTTGTTGTTGTTTCCTTTTTTCAGTACTGGAGATAGAATTCACTAAGAACGTGCTAGGTTAAGAACTCTACCACCAAATTACATCCCCAGGACTGAATCTGGTGCACTTAAACCACAGAGCCACATCTCCAGCGCTTTTTTATTTTGAGACAGGGTCTCACAAAATTGCTGAGACTGGCCTCCAACTTGTGATCCTCCTGCCTCAGCCTCCCCAAGCCCATCTTTATTTTTTTGAGATGCAGTGTTGCTAAGTTACCCAGGCTGGCCTCAAACTTGGGATCCTACTTCAGCCTCCCGAGGAGCTGTTCATGTTTTTCTTCCTTACTCTCCTCTCCTTCAGTATAATGACCACAGCCCACATTATCACTTATCAACAGGGATCTGTTCTGAGAACTGCATGTTAGGTGATCTTGTTACTGTGTGACCATCATAGACAACACCTAAGCAAACCTATGTGTAAAGCTGCTGCCAGCTTAGCCTAGCATGCCTTATATTCTTCACCTTTACAAGAAGGTATACTCTCTAAAATAACAATTAAAAAGAACAGCAAATCCATACTTAGCAAGGTCATTTATTACCAAGTCTCATGCACTGTACACATGCACATGCTACCTGTGTGTATGGTGCTGGGGTCAAACACAGTGTGGGGCCTTGCAAAAGGAAGGCAAGTGCTCTGCCCCCAAGTCACCCCCAGCCCACCTGCTGTGTCTCCAAGAGGTGCACTGTGTTGCCACCACAGTGGCACTAGGTTGTCCTATCATTAGACAACAGCCGTTTTCCAGCTCCATTGTATCACACTGTCCTATTTTTCGCCGTCATTGACTAAAACCTGCTTGTGGGGCACATACATGTTCACACAGTGGGCAAGCGGCCGTTGTCCACAGCTCAATAAAGCATTCCTTTTTTTCTTTCGGCTTCCTTTTCTTTCTGCATTTCACTTTGGACAGCTTTATTGCCAGGCCTTTAAACTCATCAATCATTTCTCCTACAAGTCTGATGTGTTGTTAATCCACTGTATTTTCCTTTTAGATAATATAGATTTTTCTCTCTAGATTCTCGATGTAGTTCTTCTTTTATACCTCCTATTTCTCTTTAGTGTGGTTTTTTGATTTGTCTTGGTTTTTTTAAAATATGAAGGTGTACTCTCTAGAACAACAACAACAAAAAAAAAACAGTAAATATATAAAAGTCACTGAAACCAGGCACTTCTGCCACTGAGCTAACTTTCCCAGCCCTTGAGACAGGGTCTTGCTAAGTGGCTATGGGTGGCCTCAAGCTTGTGATTTTCCTGCCTGAGCCTCGAGTAGCGGGGATACAGGTGCATCACTGGCTTCTATGACCTTCTTGACAGTATGAAATGACTCTAACAGTTGCATTGCCCTCCTCTGCTGATTCCAGTGTCTGTGTCAATCTAGGTCAGTGTCACCTTATTACTGTCCTAATTAAGGGCCACGTTCTCCTCTTTGCGTGCTTTGTAATCTTTGGATGGCAGATGTTGTGGATTTTATTGCATTACATGCAATATAAATCTTGAGTGTTGTTTTAGGATGCAGTTTTTTTGGAAAGAGCTTGATCTTTCTGAGTCTTACTTTACAATCTGCTAGGAGGAGTCAGCAGTAGTTAGCATAGTGCTGAATATTTCCCACGACTGCAGCAAGACCTTCCTGATAGGCCCTGGTACGCTAGGAAGTAGTCTTCCCCTCCTTCCGGCCTGTGTAAACTTCAGGTACTATCCCTCTGGCCCCTTAGATGACCCTTTCCCTGGCTCAGGCAGTGTTCTCCAATGCATGTAATGACCTGTGCTTGTTGGACACTCAAGGAGGACCTCTGCAGACCTCCCCATTCACTCTGTTGCACTGTTCCTCTGCCAGCAGTGTCCTTCCCTTCCTTGACTCTTGACAAACCCTATCCACCCTGCAAGGTCATACAACCAATCCTTTCTGCGCCACAACCTCATTTCTCCAGGTAAATCTAGTGCTTCTTCCTCTTTGCCCCCACAGCTGCTAAGACAAGCAGCAACATGAACACACAGCCAGCTGTCCAAGGAAGAGGTCTGATATTAGGCTACAGGTCTCACTGTACCTGGTCCTGAACACTTTGCCCAGCAATGTGAGTAAGGATCAGTCACAACTTGTAGATGATGATAAAGGCAGTGAACACACTAGATGAAGACTCAGATGCGAGAGTGGGTGCTGTGTAAACTCTGGGTGGGTATTATCAGAGCACAGGCTCCTTTGAAAGAGCCACCGTCAGCAGGCCCAAGAAGTGGAATAAGCCCATGTGGCTCCTGTATTCCTTCACATCTGATGATGCCCCAAGTGCTCACAACACAGTAGGTCCATCCTAGGGGTTCCAGACCCACCCTCCCTCATGGATTTCACTTTTCACAATGTGAGAAGCAACCAAGGATGTGGAGCCTGCACAAAACCTGGTCTGGGTCTCAGAGTGGCTTGACAGGTAAAGATTGGCAGATAGCATGAAGAAAGGCCGACCCAGAAGACGTTGTGTGAGGCTGCTGGTGCATCCAGTGCAGGTGGCCAACAGCAGTAGAGACAGCAGGCAGTGTACACAGCCAGGCCCAGCCAGGCCAGGGCCCAAAAAGGCAATTCTCAGAAGTGTGGACTCCTCCCTAGGTGTTATCAGCCAGGAAACATCAGATTTGTGTCTTAAAAATGCTGTACCAGGGCTGGGGCTCCATGGTAGGACACTTGCCTAGCATGTGTGAGGCACTGGGTTTGATTCCCAGCACCACATATGAATAAATAAAGGTTCAATGATAATTTTAAAAATATTTTTTTAAATGCTATACCAGAGGGGCTAGGGTTGTGGCTCAGTGGTACAGCGCTCATCTAGCACGTGGAAAGCGCTGGGTTCGATCCTCAGCACCACATAAAAATAAATAAAATAAAGACATTGTGCCCTACTACAACCAAAAAAAAAAAAAATATATATATATATATATATATAAATGTTATATTAGAGGTGGTTAAATGAAGGATCAGAAGAAAATACAAAGGCCGCAAAGAAGCCAGGCAGGAGGCTGACAGTTACTCAGAAAACGGGAACATGAATGAGGGCCACAACAGGGACATGGGGAGCAGAAAGTTCTGGGAGATGAGTATGTCCTGAACAATGATAGCTGTTGGGTGAGGATCGGCTCATGGCTGCTGCAGGTCCAAGTTGAGAACAGTGCATCAGAAGGAAGAGGTGCTACAGGAATGGAGAGACTGGTTTGCAACGCAGGGCGTGGGCCACAGAGAAGGCACATCTAGGAGGGTCACTTGAATGTGATATACCCTGATGTGATGTCTGCCTGCCATGTTTCTCTTCTATAATGTGTACTCAAGTTGCCTGGCAACAGACCCCCACCTCTGTGGCCTTTTGTCAGGATTCAAAAGTAACTGTGGACTTCTGCTTTAAGACTCAGATGAAGCAGACCAATGGAGAGGGGAGCCTAAGGGCAGTCACATGTCCCCACCAACAGCCCGACAGCATCACTCACATGACACCTGCTAAGGGACCAAGACACAGGCTGAAAATACGGCACACAACGAAAGACAACCCAAAGAATACACTGAAGGGCCATGATTAAACTATGGAGAAATCAACACGCAGAAAGCAAAGGAGAAAGAGAAGCGAAGCCCATAGAGAAGAACTTTGACAATGAGAAGATACAGAAGGGGGAATTTCAAGGAGGGTAGGATCAAAATAGAGTTGGATAAATCAAGGGTGGAAATATATTAGATCAGTTGGATAAGGGTTCACTAAAGATTTGGGGAAAGCAGTTTCAATACACTGTTCCCATGATAGGAATGAGAAGTACGGAAATGGCAAAAGAAGAGAAATGGTAGCACTGGAAGAGGTAATGGGGTCAATCAAGCGGACGTGAGTGTATGCAGGCAGGAAGGCGTGACAGACAAGGGGGCTGGCACGGGGAGGAGGAGGGGATGGGATACAAAGCTCTGATGAGAAAGCAGGCCTGCAGAGGAGGAGAGTGAGTCCTTGTATATGCCAGGAAGTCGGGATAGACGGCTTTTGACAGTTCCATAAAAACATTACATAGAATGAAAAGCTGTAAGCTGTGGATGAGAGAGATGGCACTGGCTATGAGCTCTGAGGAAGGTGACAGCCTGGGCCACACTGCAGTGGAGCAACAAAAACAGCTGGAAATGGCAAGCTGAGGCTGTGGAGAGTGTGCGGGTCACATCCGGCTACCTGGCTGTGATCTCTGGCAAGCTCACTGCCAGGCAAAGGAAAACGCACATGACAGGATGAACCACGCAGGCTTGGCACAGCCAGGAGCAAGGACACGATGCCCAGTGTGAGAGGTGTCTGATCATAATACAACCTTCTCTGGGCACAAACACCAGCATCGGGGAAGGAGCTGACAGACTTGAGACAAACCTCTAAGAACCTCTAAGAACAGAATCGGGAGACTCAGACGTGACACGAACAGGAAAATAACAGGCGACAGGCAGGAGGAAGGATTTTAGAGTTTGAGGTTTCACATACTATGTTGCTGGGATGATGAGAGGAAGATTGAGGCACAGCAGTGGAGGAATGTGCAGAGCCCCCAGGGTGAGAATGTCACCTATAAGGAAGGCTCCACTCATGTAAGAAAGTCCCAGAAAAACAACCCATAGAAGAAAGCTGTTCCAAACCTTCTATTTGCCTACATCCAGCAATACTTCTCTTGTTCTGGCTGCAGTAGCATAATGAGTCTTGGCCTTTGGGGAGCAGTCCCCCTTTCCTGGGTCACAGCAGAGAACTCCAGCCCATCTTCTTATTTGGTCACTGGTGTAGGAAACAAAACAAAGATGAGAGGCAATCCTGATGCTCTGGAATCCAAAAATCTTCCCAGTAAGACAATACACACCCATGAAAGGCAAAGGACAAGTCCCCAGCAAAAGCAAAGACCAAAGGCATTTGAGAAGCTCACATGAGTGCCTGAGGGCTTCCTAGCCAGTGGGCTCTTTTTAAGTGAGACCGGAAATGACACAAGGAAAGGTCTCATGCTGAATCATCACAGTAAATACCATTCTACAGAGGACCTCTAAATTTTCAGAGAGATATTTTTATACCCACCACCTCCAGAAGGTAAAATCTTCTAAGAGTGAGAAACTAATGTGACTCCATTTTTTAAAAATAAATACATAACAGCAGCTTCTACCTCAAGGCCTGTCCTAAGGAAGGGGGCGTGACCCTTGTCCTTGGAAAAACCCACAGAGCACTCGAGAGTACATACCCACCCTGCTGAGTTGTTTGTCTGTAAATAACAGGAGAGGTCTGCGGAGCCAGGTGTCCCTGACTCAGTTAGGCTAGGTGAGGACCCATGCAACCCTCCTAGCAACCTTCAATCAGCATAAGACAGGGAAATACCTGGAATGCCAGATGACCCCCAAATAGTTTATGGTGGTTGATAACATGTTGGGAAACATGTAATTTAGCACGTACACCCCTCGTGGCCTAAATCAATCAGTTCAAACGAACCCCCCTCTTGTACTAGCCAATCACCCCTACCCAACTTGTTCCTGCCAGTGAATATGCTAATCAATGTTAAGAGTTATTGTTTGATTTTCCCACGGTATGGAATGATTTGCTGTATGATGTTTGATGCAAAGAGTATCCCCCAAAACCTATAAAATCTCACTGAACAAAGGACCAGGACTCACTCCCTAAGACCGCTGCATCGGGAACGGTTGTGAGTCCAGGCTAGAGCTTGCAATAAAGACCCTTGTGTGCTTGCATTGGATTCGGCTCCTGGAGGTCTATTGGGGTCCCACGAATCTGGCATAACAGGAGACAAACATGACAAATCTTCAACATTTGGATGTAAATATTATAACAAAGCCTACATTTTCAACCAGATGTAGTCACCAAAAAAAGTATTGAAGCCAGGCACAGTGGCATACATCTGTGATCTCAGTGATTCAGGAGGTTGGGGCAGGAGGATCACAAGTTCAAGGTGAACCTGCCTTAAAAATTTTCAAAAGGACTATGGATGCAGCTATTTGACAGAGCACTTGCCTAGCATGTGTGAGGCTCTGGATTCAATCCCTAGTACTGCCCCCCTCAGCAAAAACTTTTTGCTAATTTAATTTATAATCATTCTGTTTTTCTTCTGAATCATCGTCAAAGGACGGAGCCAGAAGACAAGGGGGCCAACCTTTGCACAGGAAACTCATATAAGGACAAAAGGCTATATTAACCAACCACCACCCTGTGGCTAAAAAGAGCACACACTTACTACCTAACAGCTCTGGTGTACATTAGTGTGTGGGTAGCGCTGCTCCTCCTGAGCCTCCTGGGGAAAATCCACTTCCTGCCCCTGCCAGCTGCCAGAGGCACCAGTTCCTCCACCACGCTACCAGCAACAACTACCAGCAGCCACCCAGCTCTGTGCCTTTGTGCAAGTCACACCCTCCAGCTGTACCTTTGGCTTCCCTCTTCAGGACTCCTGTGATTAGCCCAGGCCCATCAGAATAATCCAGGGTAATTGTTCCCATCTTAAAGTCCTTTTGAATCACAATTCTTTTTCACCACTTAAAATTCAGGTTCTGGGGACATCTTTGGGGAGCCATTACTTTGCCTACCACATTACTTTGCCTTCTCAAAGCCAGCAAAGGCTCAGCAAGTCACCCACTGCGGTGCCAGCAGTTGCACAACATAGCTCCAACCAAATTACTTGTCATTCAGCTTCACAGAGCCTACATTCTGGGCGCTGACAACTTTTCAACCTGCCCCAGTCTCTAGAACAGGAAAGGTTAGGATGCAGCAGCAGAGAGGGACTGTGCAGAGAGGAGCAAAAACGCTGTCTTGAATGTTTGTTCCAAGTCAAAGCCTACAGACAAGAAAGAGAGAAGGAAGAGCCCTGGCTGACAGGAGAGATGCTAGAAAGAGCACCACAGTAAGCGCATTGTCTGCAGAACAGGAACAGTGTGACATTTCATTTAAGTTTTAAAACCCAAAATGCTTTAGTGCTTAAATTACTTGATGAAAACCACCATTTCTAGGCTTAGTTCTCCTTTAACAGAATGTTTTTCTAGTAAAATTGTAAAAAAAAAAAAGGAATGGACCACTTTCATTATCATTTTATGAGGCAAGAAGATATCAAGGAGGAAAAATGAGCATGGGAGTTCTTTTTAAAATTTCCAGTTAGATTTTGTTGAGAACTGAATTTAATCTAAAAACAGAACTATTTTCATTCTTATTGATCCTTTATTCTTACTTTTTACAGGGTACCAGGGATTGAACTCAGGAGCGCTTGACCACCAACCACTGAGATACATCCCCAGCCCTATTTTGTATTTTATTTAGAGACAGGATCTCACTGAGTTGCTTAGCACCTCACTTTTGCTGAAGCTGACTTTGAACTCCCAATCCTCCTGCCTTAGCCTCCCCTGCCTCAGCCACCCAAGCTGCTGGGACCACTGTGCCCAGGTGATCCTTTATTCTTATTTCATACCTTCTATTAGTTTTGTTTTCATATAGTTAACACATTACTTCTATTTAAAATTAATACTAAGTGTTTTCTTCCTATTGTGAACAGACCTTTGTTTTTTGCAGAAATATGTGCTAACTTGTTACTGGGGACAGTAGTAAAACAATGTGTTAACTTATCTCCTTTTCAGTCACTTCATTAAAAACTTACTGATAGTAAATAAGTCTCCTGCATGCTGGTGACTTAGCTAATTAATGACAGTTTTAGAGTTTGTTTACCAGGACACAAGCCTCGCATGTTTAAATATTGCCTAAGACCATGCAGCATACACTGACAAGCAGTCAATCATCCTGATCTCTAGATGTGTGCCTGAAATCCCTGCCCCTGCGATTGGCAAAAAAAGAGCTCAAGAAGTAAGCGCTGAGAGGAGGAATGAAGGAACACATGAACGTTTTAAAAAGAAGCAGGAGGCTGTGCAACCCCCGCCCCCTTCATAAGTTTTGCAAGATGAAGGACAATCATGAAGCAGAGGAGGAGCAGTTTCCTCATAAAGAATAGTGAAGTGCTGAGGTGCTCTATAAGGGGGGAGTTGTCCTATGTGGTCCTCCGGTAACTGCAGACAACATCTCTGCCCCAGCACTGTCCACTGGCATTCAGGGTGACATCTTGTCTTTCTTTTTCCTTTGTTTTAATTAATAGCTTCTTGCTGCTACTGACCTGCAGGGAGAAGGGAAATGCTGCACCTTCTCCATACACTTTGGGGAGGATCTATGTATTCAATTTTGCTACTAACCTTAAGTCTTTCACACATTAAATGCTGGATGACATACCAAACTATAGCTAATTTAACAAATCTAGTGTCAAGAAAAAAAATGAAAATGTAAAACCAAGTTGTGAGCTGTCCCGGGAAAAAAAGTAAGTTAAATACACACACCTTCCAATTAATCTATTTAATTTTTTTAAAAAATGTGAAGACGCTAGAGACAATGATTTCTTTTTTCTTTTTTTCTTCAGGCCACACACAAACTACTTGATCTTAACTAAAAATACTGATGCCATTCTGGGCAATTTCGACGCAAATACTGCTTAACGTCAACGAGGAGCAAAGTTCTGAATCGCTTTTGCATCAGACGACAAAACAGCCACCCGTCCTTTGCTCCCTGCCACCGCACTGGTGAAAGCTGCCCCGCCTGGCCTCAGGGTCCGCCAGCGCCCGCGACTGGGGTGCCCGCGGCAGTGCCTGGAGGGGCCGCCGCGCTTGCCCCGCGTCAGGCTCACCGTGGTGCGTCCCGGCGCCGTGCTCGTCCCGCGGGCACCTCCGCCGCCCCGCCCCGGCCCTCAGCCGAGGCGCCCCGTGCGCGGGAAACCAGGCCCGCCAGGAGGCCACAGCGACGGCCAGGCCCGGGGAGCGGGCGCGGGCAGCTGGCCCAGGGCCACGCAGGCCGTCGGCGGCCGCAGGGCGGCGTCCACTGCGGCCCGCCCCGCCCCGCGGGGCCTCTTCCCGGCTCCTCGGCCTGCCGTTGGCGCGCCACGCCCCTACCGGCACGCACGCACCATCCACACTGACGCACGCACGCGCATCCCTCACGTGCCAACGCGCACGCGCCGCGCCCCGCCCCTGCAGGCACGCTCCCCCGCGGGGCGCGCTGGGAAATGCAGTCCCGCCGCGCCTTTCTCCTGACGCCGCGGGCAGGTGAGCGCGCGAGGGCGGAGCAGGACCGCGCGGGCGGAGCAGGATCAGCGCTCTGCCCTGGTCTGGACCCTGGGTCCGCCCTGCCCGCGTGCTATGGGCGTTGTTCCTTTCAGGCTCCACTGTACACAGTTCGCTAATAAAACACCGGGTGTGATGTGTGCATTTCGGCCCTGGGATTGGCCCAGGGGCTCCACCCGAGCTACTCTGCTACTCTCACCCCGCCCCGCGACCCCGCCTCGGCGCGGCCAGCCTCCAATCAGGCTCCTTAGCCGTGGCTGGTGCATGGCCTCTTCGCCAGCTGGCCTGGCGGTACCGCGCTGGGCCTGTTCAGGCGATTTCTAGTTCGCTGCTTTTCAGGGTGCCGACCTTAGGGGTCACTCGAGTCCTTGTAGTTTGGCCTTCTGGTACAGCATTTTTTCTACCTATTCTGTTTTCCAATAAATATGTGCATAGGTTTTTAAAAATCAAATGCTTAAAGGCTCTAAATAAAAACAGTAAGTTCCTTTTCTGCATCCATTTTTAGATATGTAAGCAACTCTGACTTTGGACTGTCCTCAGTATTTTTAATTACTTCATTTTTCAGCTGTAGATGGACGCAGTCCCTTTATTTTATTTCTATGTGGTGCTGAGGATGGAACACCGTGCCCCACACATGCTAGGCAAGCGCTCTACCGCTGAGCCCCAGCCCCTTAGCATTTTATTCATCAATTTGAGACGTTGTTTTAAATTTCTTACTATGCTATTGAGAATTTTGTCTGCCTTTCTTCTTACCACATCCTTAACTCACAATGGATATGAGTATGAATATGTAATGTAGTTCTCACAAACTTTGGTTAGGTACATTCAGTGTTTCATTGTGATAACAGTCTTTCCTACTGAGCCAAAGACAATTCTTTGTACATTTTTTTTTTTGCTTTGTTTGTTTTTTAACAATCACTTTTGGGGGGCTGAGGTTGTGGATTAGAGCGCTTGCCTAGCACATGGGAGGCACTGGGTTCGATCTTCAGCACCACATAAAAATAAATAAAATAAAAGTATTGTGTCCCCCTACAACTAAAAAAAAAAAAAAGTTTTTTAAAAACTTACTTCTTTGAACTGGGCACAGTGGCCGACGCCTATAATTCCAGTGGCTTGGGAGGCTGAGACAGGAGGACAGCAAGTTCAAAGATAGCCTCAGCAACAGTGAGGCAGTAAGCAACTCAGTGAGACCTGTCTCTAAACAAAATGCAAAATAATAATAATAATGAGGAGGAGGACTGGGGATGTGGCTCAGTTTTGAGGGCTTTTGCGTTCAATCCCTAGAGCCAAACAAAAAAACATTTTTTTTTTTTTTTTTTTTGGTTTGGCACTAGGGATTGAACCCTGGAGCACTTTGCCACTGAGCTATATCCCCTCTAAGTTGCTGTGGATGGCCTCAACTTTGCTCAGCCTCCCAAGTCACTGGTTTTACAGCTGAATGGTCTTAAACCCACGTACACTTCTACTTCCCTCAAGGTCTAATCTGCCCAGCACTCTTAGCGCTTCCTTTTTCCTGCAGCAGCTGACATCAGGGGATTTCCCTTGACGTCCTGCATTTCTCATCTCAACTATGTTAAATCTTCAGTGTCCTGGAAGTGTTTCTACTCATTTTCTTGGTCAATTTTTATCTTATTA